GGTATATATTGGGGTTATATTATTTGCAATGATGTGACTTGACGTTAAGGGGGCACTACGTGCCTGCATGGTTAACTTCATCCGAGATTGATTCACTGGAACATCTCGATCTGGCACTCAGCAGACTCGACCTTCTGTTCGCACTTTGTTCCAAAACAGACTGCAGTAGTCAGGGTGTGGACCGATACCTCTTCTCATGTCTTGAACCTGCATGGCTCTGGCATGCTTTTCAAAAAGCTCAGGAGCAACTGCTGTACTGCAATTTTGCCCAGGGTTCAAATTTCTTTTGAATGTCGAAGGGGCAGATAAAAACAACTGCTCGCTAGCTCGTGTGAAGGTGCGAAGAGAACATGACCGCGTGGTGTCAGGATGTACTGTGGGTAGCACTCCACGTGTTTCTTGCTGGATCACGAACCGCTGTAAGTCTTGTAAAGCTGGCATGAGGCACTGTAAAACTTCATGACCCTTTGGAACTTTTGGTTGAGACCAAGCATTCATCATTTCCGTCAACGCAGCCAAGCAGCAATCTGAACTTTGTCCTTGCATTGTCAGAACCTTCTCAGTCCGTCAACCGTGGAAGCTGGCAGCCCTACTGTCAGCTTGAATGTGCCTAGTGACGCTTGGGATGAAAAGCCGTGTGTTCTCCCCAGAACTCTGGGGCTTGTGCCAGGCTGCGGCTGCTACGGGAGATGTGAAGATGGGCAGGCAGCTTGCATTCCCATCTTTGTTTTGTTCTTCTCTGCCTCTGGAACAGAACCCCATCGATCAAGACCGTGAAGCCAGGACGGCGACCCAGTGGCAGCTTGTGTTAAGAAACCGCGTACCTGTTGATGCACTGTGTGCACACGGGCCATGGATCTCATGTCCCGCAGTTCGTTAGAGGGGCTGCAGCCAGAGGTGTCAATTTTGCTGCGGTGCTACAAGCTTATTTAAACATTTAAACTTGTTTACGACATGTTGAACATCATCGTGCTTTTCAGCACGCATCGGCACATGCGCAGATGCAATGCGTGTGCTCATCCATATCCGCGTGTCTGCCTCAACAGGTCCGAACACCTGCTCCCAAGTTTGATCTGGAATTTGGATGTCAAGTTTTGAACTTCAAAATGGTTCCCGTCGAGTTTGAAGATCGAGCAAGCCTGGTAAAAGAAGTTCTTGCAAGTACCATATACCACGGTTCCCAAACAGCAGGAAAGAGCCGTGGAGAAGCCAGTTGAAACCTCTCCTTCACATGCATAGTGCAAAGGTTGACCGGTACAGCATAAGTTTCTTCGCAGAAGATGCAAGGCAGAGCCTAGGTACTTGCCATTGGACTCTGTCACAGACACAGGAGGAGGCAAACATGTGATTGGAATGGACAGCACCATTCCCTGGTCAAGCGTTCATGGGTTGGGGCTTGGGGATGTATTGCGTGTATGCGGGTGGTTGTCAAAATTATGGTCCCTTTTTGGGTCCCTAGTATAATACGGCACCTAATATTTAGGGTACCCACAATGGGACCATAATTTTGACAACCACCCATGCAGGACAAGGAAGCGGAACTCCTGGCGCAAGAGCTGCTGCAGCTAAGGCCTTGCTCAAGATATGTCATGGCATATGCGGCATATGAGCTATAGTCTAAACTCCTTAAAGGGGGGTTATATAGGGGATTATATAAGGGCCTACTATAGGGGTTATTAAGGGGGATACTAGGAGTTTAGACTATAGCTCATATAGCTCGGCTGGATATCTTGCGCGTCAGGTGCCGAAAGCTGTGCGGCTGTCAAAGAAGGGTGGAAGGAGGAGGAAAGCAACGTGGCCAGTATCTTAGATTCCTGATGTAGCATGCATGTCAGGGCCCTTGCTTTTCGTAAGTCTTCATTCTTTTGCAAGACATGATCCTGAATGATGGAAGTCGTCAGGCGAAGTCATGGAGTTGGCTAGCCTGGCGTCACATGGCGCTGTAGCTGAGTTGTCGTAAACACCTACATAAACCGGCAGCCCTCAGCTGCGTTTCACCCACTACGGGAGTGGCAGATTCTATCGCTTCCAAAGATGCCGCGAGGTGGCTGTGCTTTGGCTGTGCTGGTAGTGGCCTACGTGCTTTTATTGATGGAGCTGCCAACTGGATGCAGTGAACTGCAACGTGCTGTTCTGGAGGTGAGGTCATAAGAGCACATACGCTAATTAAAGCATCGGCCCAATCAATACAGTCAGTGCAGTGGATATGAAAGGCATCGCTCACACAGATTTTGACAGTCAGGCGGCGCTTGAATCGTGCTAACAATCTTGCTGCTAAGTTGGGGCGGCCTTTCAGAGCCATGGCGAGTGCAGATCCGATCCCATACTTGGCAGCATCCGCCGCACTGACCTCAGATCAGATATGGGTAATGCATGCGTTTTGACAAGGTCTCAACAAAGGTCCAGAGATCCCAGTGTCAATCCAAAGTTTCTATCCAGCCCACCGAAAGGCACTTGCAGGCCAGTGCATGGGAACGCTTAGGTTTCATCATTCGTGACCTTTCCCGTCTGGAAAGCAGCTACTATTGGCCAGTCACTTCCTCAACTGCTCCTCACAAGACAAGGAAAGTGCACCTTGCCATGCCAGGTCTGGGTACGCCTTGAGAGCAAAGTCTGCTTTGGGACGTTTCCTGGAGGCGCCTCTGGCTCCATGGAGCCAAGTGGGTCATTCCATTCCATGTCGTTCCCAAAATCGGGGTTTCCTCTCATAACTCAAGCTGTGGTGGCCTCCGCCATGAAGACAAGCAAGCAGGGATGCCAAATGCTTGGAAACTCACCAGTAGACATTGTGCATGAAGCAGGCAGCAAGGCCGCCATACAGGGGCAGCTTTGTGGTGGCGGCTTGCATGCATTGCTGGCGTGTTCAGCATTGCGTTGACTTCAAGCTACCTTCATGTGTGCATTGCAGGCAATGTTGTCCAGCGCTGCGTTTATTGCAGATGGGTGGCTTGCATCCCCAAGGTCTCTGGGAGGACTTGGGCGCAGGCCTCTCCAACTCAGTAGCCACATGCTCTACGGGTAGAGACTTGGATCTTGGTGTTTTTGCCGCAAACCAGTTGCTTGAATGTCAGGCCATGATTTTCTTTGGTTTGCGCCTCATTGCTGGCTTTCTGGATTGCGATGCTTCCTTCTGTCGAGTACAGCTACTCGCAGACTAGGTTCTGACGAGGGATCTAGACTGCTCCGAAGAAATGGTTGGAGCAGCACAACGGCATCACTCCTGCCTCCGCACCTCATCTGCACAGCGCACGGCCGCCAGGACAGTGCCTGTAGTGTGACTTGTTGATCAACTCAGGCTATTGATCTCCGTGCCTGCCTCAGGTGTTGCATCAGCGTCAGCATAGTCAAAACTCCGTCGTGTGTGCGTACAAACGCGGATTTGGAGTCAGCACGACCGCTGGGTATTCAAATTTGAACTCTGTCAGGATATTGTGTTGCAGCTTGAGACTAACGTTCGATCTGCACATGCAACAGCCAACCGTGTTCTGCGACTGCCACCGTAAATCCTGACAGAAGCTTTGCCGAGCTGCTGCTGCTCCTGCTGCCAGAACGGTCACCGTTGTTACAACGGCCTCGTCTGAAGTTTGATGGGTGTGAACACAACCTGCCAAGGCCCTAGAAGAGGAAGTCCCCAAAACACTAACTCCTAGAACTACTGCACTCCGATGGCTCCAACGTAATCAGGCCATGGAACAGCAAAAGCGTGTCCTCTAGAAGCTGCAAAGGTGGGTCAGGTGGGGCAAGTGGGTCAAGTGGGTCTAGTGGGGCAAGTGGGGCAAGTGGGGCAAGTGGGGCAAGTGGGTCAACGGGGGCAAGTGGGGCAAGTGGGTCAGGTGGGGCAAGTGGGGCAGACCCATT